CCACATTGAGTCTTCCTGCAGAGTCGTTCTTTCTCATTGGGATAACTGCTATGTTGGAGGTTTGTACCAAGGGCTGATGATCAAACTGAAAGGCACCTCACTCTAAAAGAAAGGATCTGAAAGACTTTACTGACCAAGGCAGGTGGGCATGAGTCAGTCTCAAAAAGGGAACTGGAGTTCACCAGGCAAAGAGCGGGGATAAGCTTCAAGGACAAAGTGGACAGTGAATTCAAAGGAGCAGAGGCATGAAGAATATGTCATATTAACATATAATATCTATTGTATGTCATTTACTATAATTATAACAGTAATTATAACAGTAGAAGGCTCATGAGACAATCATGGTGGTGGAGGGTTTCTAAACTTTGACAATAATCATCTACTTCTCTATCCTGATCCACACGGGAAGATGAGAAGAAGCAAAGAATTAGCTAGATTTTGAGCAAGAGAACCAACTCACCCTGTTCCCACCTTTGGTTGACACCCATCACAGAAAATAAGTCCAAGTATTAGCACAACAGACAAGCCCTTTCTTTTTTTTTTTTTTTCTTCAGACAAGCCTCTTCTAACCTGGCCCCTACCTAACCCACCAATCTCATTTGCCAGCACCAACTCAAGCCGTTCACTGAGTATGCCACACCTTCTCATGCCTCTGTACTTTGGTATATGTTCTTCTCATCTGGGTTACCTACTTCCACTTTGCACTTAATAAGCCCCTTATCTTTCAGGCTCATCCCAGGGGTCTACTTATTTGTAAATATTTCTGTATGTCTACGATGATTCCATAGTGTACAATTCTACAATGGCACGTTTTTCTTTTACTTTTTTTTTTTTTGAGTCAGGGTCTCACTCTGTCACCCAGGCTTAAGGACAATAGCACAATCATGGCTCATTGCAGCCTCCACCTCCTGGGCTCAAGCAATTCTTCTGCCTCAGCTTCCCAAGTGGCTGGGTACAGGCATGGGCCACCATGCCCAGCTAGTTTTTTGAGTTTACACAGAGGTGAGGTCTCACTATGTTGCCCAGGCTGGTCTCAAATTCCTGGGCTCAAGTAATTCTTCTACCTCAGCCTCTCAAAGTTTGAATACAGGCGTGAGTCACCATGCCCAGCCTACGATATTACTTTAAAGAACAGGACATGTGGCCGGCGTGGTGGCTTAGTCTGTAATCTCAGCACTTTGGGAGGTCAAGGCGAGAGTTTGGGGGTTCAAGACCAGCCTGGGCAACTTGGTTGCCCATCTCATCTCTACAATAAGTCACAAAAAAAACTAGCCGGGCATGGTGCTGTGCATCTCTAGTTCTAGCTACTTGGAAGACTGAGATGGAAGGATCACCTGAGCCCAGCAGGTCAAGGCTTCTGGGGCCGTGAGAGTGCCACTGCACTCTAGCATGGGCGACAAGAGTGAGACTCCAACTAAAAGAAAGAGACAGAGAGAGAGAGAGAGAGAGAGAGAGAGAGAGAGAGAGAGAGAGAGAGAGAGAACAGGACATGTGCTACATTTACTTGTTTGCATGTCTGTGAATAGACTCAGTACAGTCATTGAGTGCAGAGGTACATGTTTGGGCTCTGAAGACAGGCTGCCTAGATCCAAATCTCACACTCTGCACTAGGGTCTAGGGTCACACCAAAGTGACCCCAGCCAAGTATTTACCCTCTGTGGGCCTCGGTTTCATTTTCCATAAAGCTTGATTAATAACAGCTACCACACAGGATTAAGTGAGTGACACAGAATAATGCCTGTTACACCCCAAGCCCTCGATAACTGTAGTCATTAATATATATCTGTATCTCTCATTTCCTGTATAAAAAACATATGTTTGTTGAATGAATAAAATTTTCCCAGTATTTCACATTTCTCTGCATAGATACTAAATTCTGCTCAGACAGCCTTTGCATTATTAAATTATGAAAAGAAAATCCTCATCTCTCAATGTGTACAGGTGATCCTTGAACAACATGGGCTTGAAATGCACAATCCACTTACACTCAGATCTTTTTCAACCAAGCACAGAATGTCATAGGACATGAAATCCATGTATACCGAGGGCTGACTTCTCATATAGGCACGTACTTTTTCGCAATTGGTTGAAGATAAACAGGCCATTTCGGTAAATGAATTTAGTTTCTTGCCATCGCTGCTTGCCTGGTCACTAAGTCAGACATTCTCCTGATCTTCTAAAAATCTCCCCATATGCCAGCCACACAGTTACCCCCATGGGGGGGGGCAACTCTGTTTTAATAATTTACACAGTCTTATTATCAAGTTCAATCTTGACAGCTCCCCTAGGTGGGCATAAGAAACAAAAAAAGACTCCCCCCCCCACAGCCCAGGGAAGAACCCCACAGATACTTTTTTAATGCTAAAGCAACATAAAGTCATTGCAGTCATAAAATACTTTTTTTTTTCTTTCCTTTTCTTTTTTGAGTCAAAGTCTCACTCTGTCACACAGACTGGAGTACAGTGGCACAAACATAGCTCACTGTAGCCTTGACCTCCTGGACTCAGGCAATCCTCCCACCTCAGCCTCCCAAGCAGCTGGGACTACAGGCATGCACCGCCACCCCTAATTTTTTTCAAGATGAGGTCTTGCTATGCTGCCCAGGCTGGTCTTAAACGCCTGGAGTCAAGCAATCCTCCTACCTGGGTCTCCCAAAGTGCTGCGATTACAGGTGTGAGCCTCTGTGCTTGGTTGAAATATTTTTAAAAGTTTAAAAATGGCATTTTCTAGCCCCAAATCCATAACTGTCACAGCTTAATAAAAAGTTCATGTGCCAGAATCCCAACCAAGAAAAAAAAAAATTAGAGCACAAAGAAGGGGAAGGAAGTGAGACCTGTTCCCAGCTGTACCTCGAATTTCCCAGGAAAGGCAGCATCGTGGTCAACAGAGACAGGGCACTTGTTAGAAATGGACAATGGTGCTGCCTCAGGACAACAGAAAGGCCACACCTGAGGAGGCCGGAACCCTTACAGAGTCACCACGCACTGGCCGCAGAGGGAAGCACAGGCCTTTCTGGCTCAAGAGCCCCAGAAGGGGTTCAGTTACACTCCAGCAGGAGGGGTTCAGCTATACTCCCAGGCTCCAGACCCACCCTCCCTGTACTGCCTTTTCAATCCAGACACTGGCTTTGCAGTCGTTCATGTCACCAACTCTCATCTTGTCATTACTACACCTCAGCTTATTGACTCACTGTCCCATCCTCATTCTAGACCCTCAGCTCCGATGGGTTGGGAATTCACCAGTCTGCCTGCCTTACAGTGGTTAACCCCCACCTCTCTGACAACCATCTGCCCCAGCACCTTCTGCGCTGGAACTCTTATGAGTGCACTGACACTTCTTGGGGGGACGGGAGGGGGAAGGGAGGGAGGGAGGAAGGAATTTTGAGTAGGAGTCTCACTCTGTTACCCAGGCTGGAGTGCAGTGGCATTCTCAAGGCCACTGCAGTCTCAATCTGCTGGGCTCAGGTGATCCTTCCACCTCAGCCTTCCAAGTAGATGGAACCACAGGCATGTGCCACCACGCCCAGCTAATTTTTTATTTATTTTAGAGACAAGGTCTTGCCATGTGGCTCAGGCTGGTCTCAAACTAATTATTTAAAGTTAATCTGACAATTTCTTAAAACCAAGAGAACAGTCATATAATTGACAGTATATTTAATATTCTTATACAAGACAATTCTCAGTCAGGCGTGGTGGCTTGCATCTGTGATCCCAAGCACTTGCATCTGTGGTAGAATCTGGGAGGACTACTTGAGGCTAAGAGTTCAAGACTAGCTTAGACAACAAGCAAGACTCCATCTCTACAAAAGAATTTTTTTAAGTAAGTAGCTGGGCATGTTGATGTGTGCCTGTAGTTCTAGCTACTCGGGAGGTTGAGGCAGAGGATTACTTGAGCCTAGGAGTTCAAGGCTGCAATGAGCTATGAATGCACCACTGTACTCCAGCCTGGGTGACAGACCCTGTCTCAAAATAAATAAATAAATAAATAAAACTGTTTAGGCCAGGAACAACAGCTCATGTCTGTAATCCCAGCACTTTGAGAGTCTGAGGCAGGCAGACTGCTTGAGGCCAGGAGTTTGAGACCATCTGGGCAACATAGCAAACTCTCATCTCTACAAAAAAAATTTTTTTAAATTAGCTGGGTGTGGTGGCATGCCAGTAATCCCAGTTACTCAGGATGCTGAAGTGAAAGGATTGCCTGAGACTGGAAGGGCAAGACTGCCATGAGCCATGATCACTGTGACCATACCATTACACTCCAGCCTGGGTGATAGAGTGAGATCCCAACTTTAAAAAAAAGATAGTTTTTTCCTTTAAAAATTAGATAAATGAGCTGGGCTCGGTGGCTCAGCCTGTAATCCCGCGCCTTGGGAGGCTGAGGTGAGTGGACTGCCTGAGCCTGCGGGTTCGAGACCCGCCTGGGCAACTTGGAGAGACCTCATCTCTACAGTAAATAAAAAAAACTAGCTGGGCATGGTAGCGCACGCCTGTAATTCTGGCTACTCGGAAGGCTGAGGAGGAAGGATTGCCGGAGCCCAGCAGGTCGAGCTGTGGTGGCCGGGAGAGGCACTGCACTCCAGTCTGGGTGACAGGGTGAGACTCCAACTCAAAAAAAAAAATTATGCAGCCATAAAAAAGAACAAAATCATGAACTTCACTGCAACCTGGATGGAACTAGAGTTTATAATACTGAGTGATCTCTCACAGAAACAAAGATCTGATATCACATGTTCTCACTCATAAGTGGACCTTGAACATCTATCGTAATACTATAAGAAAAGAATTGACAGTAGCGGGAAACTAAGGGGGGAGCAGGGAGGGAAAGGGAGGTGGGATTAACGGTAGTCAATATCTGTCTGGGGACCAGGGGACACCCCTTATCAACAAGGGTGCCTGAACGATGCATATTTGTATACCTAACCCTTAACTGTACCCCGCAATTTTAAAAGAAAAAAGATGTTTAAAAAAACTTAAATAAACAAAAGACAACTCTGTACTTACAGGCCTCCTGGTTGAAGCACCTTGAACGGTATGATAAAATTCCGGCTGGACTCGGCTATTCTTCTTGATTCTCCGTTTCCTCACTGAAGTATCCTGCTCGCTCTGATGGTGAACTTCCACTATGGGCTTCACTTCTTCCAGACGAGCAGCTGCAGCCGCTGCAACTCGTCGTCTGATATGCCGAGGGCTGGCTCTGAATCCCTATAGCGAAAAACACAACCGAACAAACCCGGATTTGTATTGAGTTTGTCTGGAAGTTCTGCAGTGCTGGTTATACAAAGAGTCTCAGTGAGATTATTGACACCCCAAAGCGATCATGCAGGAGGAAAAACTACATGCAAGCGAGGCTTCCCCACACATGTTCTGTGAAACACCCCAGTCTTCAGGGCCTGGAGTCACTACATTAAGAAACATCAGTAATCCAGTAAAGCCAGTCCAAAACAAGAAAGAAGGTAGGTGGGCACACTGCTTGACCCAAGTACCAGCAGACTGTGTGTGGAGAAGAGCCTTTCCACTTGGACATGATGCGGGGCGTGGGGTAGGATGGAGTGTCATTCCAGGGGAAAGAGCCACTTGAGATTCCTGAGAGCAGAGTCTTTTTAAAGGAAGGAAATCAGGCCTGCAAAGCATCATTATGAAACACAAAGTGAAGATCCCAAACTGAAAATGGAGACAATGTGGTGGAACCTGGGGTAGGGGCTTGGGGTCCAGATGGGCCTGTGTCCAGATGCTATCTTGTTAATTACAGCTACGACATCTATTAGACATTTCTGAGTCCAGCTGTTCTAATCTATAAAATGTTGAACATTCCTCTCACAGGGCTTTTACGTATTAAGTAAGATAATATATGGAAAATTCCAAGCATGGTGTCTGTCACATAAGAGGTACTCAAGAAAAGTGTCATCTTCCTCCTCTCTTGGAGGAAGGTGAGTATAAGGGCAACCCGTTATACCATGGAAATAATTCAGCTAAGTCATGTTATGCATCTGGGGACATGCAAACAAATTTGGGAAACAGCACAGACTTACATAGAACAGTCTCTGTCCTTGTGGCTTATAATTTACTAGACAGCAAAAGAATAACTCAGAGTTCATGGGCACACAGGAAAGTGTAATTGAGGGTGAAAGTGGGCAGGACAAGACTCTGCACTAGTCGAGCTCAGGAAGGAAATCAATGAATGAAGCTGAGAGCCAACACTTAGCTTAGCTGAGTGGGTGTCACTTGAAGAATGAACAGAATTTATATTCCAGGAGGCAAGAGAAATAACATAAGAAATGAATGAATAAGTAAAATGATAGCTGGATGGGCGGAATATTTACATACCAGTAAGAAACACTACTTGATGGTGAGCCAGGATGAGAGAACACTCTAAGCGTGGTGAGGAAATTAGTAAGGGATAAGTGATAAATGCTCCATGGAAGACTTCTTTGAGTCTGTGAGTCTTCTGAATTTTAAAGATGTATTAACAAGCTTAAAGGCTGCAATAAAGGCATAAAGAATGGGGAGTAAGAATTCAGGGGGAAAAGCAGCAAAAGAAAATTCTGTGGGATATGGAAAGATAAATGTGCACGGGGGGATTCTCACTGAGGGAACTGGGAGATGGGCTAGAGTCTGATTATGGAGAAAGATATGAAGAAGGAGAGGGGAAAACAAAGTAGGAGGTGACCCACAGAGTCAAAAATAGCACTGAGGTCAAGAGAAATCAGTAAGGAAAAAATGCAAACAGGTCTGGCAAAACTGAGGTCATGGTTTGGGCTCTTCTCATCCCCAAACACATTAGTCTGTGCCCACCCCACCCCTGTGTGCAAGTTCAACTGGTCCTCTCCAACTCAAAATAGACCCAGAAGATCTCCAGCACACCCACATGCCCCAGGAGGCACCACGGCAGCTGCCAGAGAAGAGGATTAAGGAGAAGAGGGGCTATGTCAGGTGCTAAAGCATTTTCTAAAGCAGAGTTTGGACCACACATGTCAGGACCAACAACCATACTGGCTGCTTTAAAAACATGCAGGTTCCTGGATACCTCCCACCACACACCCACACACCCACACCCACACCCACAAACACACACATTCTCTCCTCTCTCTCTCTCTCTCTCTCTCTCTCTCTTCCTTCTCAACTAGACTCCCTGGGGATGAGGCCAAGAATCTCATTTTTTAACAAGCAACTGTAGAAATTGTTCTGCACTCTGATGATTTAAGAACCTCAAGGAGCCAGCGCTTAGTCTGACCACTAGGTGGCATTACCTCCCATAGCCCCTGCATGCTTTCCGGTTCAGAAATGTGCGTACTGGTAGAAGGAATAAAAAATTTTACAATATGCTAGCTTCTGTAATGGTGGAGTAAGTTGAATACATTTATTTGGTAAGAATGAGGATTCTTTCTACTAGGAGTAATAAGCAACCAAATCTTGCTTAACTGGCATTATTACCAATAGCTCTTGGGGGTCTACAAATTCCAGAAATACTTAGCAGGGGAAAACTGCATAAAACTCTTTAGAGTGACGAAAGAAGAGATTAAAACATGTTGGTAGCCAGGCTCGGTGGCTCAGCCTGTAATCCCACGCGTTGGGAGGCTGAGGTGAGTGGATTGCCTGAGCCCGCGGGTTCGAGACCCACCTGGGCAACTTAGTGAGACCTCATCTCTACAATAATTCAAAAAATTAGCCGGACGTGGTAGCACACGCCTGTAGTTCCAGCTACTTGGAAGGCTGAGGCGGAAGGATCGCCAGAGCCCAGCAGGTCGAGGCTGCAGTGGCCGGGAGCGGGCGACAGAATGAGATGCCAACTCAAAAAAAAAAAAAAAAAAAAACATGTTGGTATGGCCATTCAGGAGCTCTAACTTAGTGACTCCACACTCCTGGATCCACCCAAGAAATTCTACTAAGAGTGCCCAGGAAGATAGTCAACGCAGAATTATTTATGATACTAAACATTTCAAGCAATCTAAGTCAGTCTTTCCTAAAACTTCGCCATTGGCATACCATGTTCACATTTTTCTCAGACCTGAGCACCATCATGCAGGCCTCGGTGATTTCTGTTATATCCAAATACACGTGTGCTATATGTAAATAACTTTTTATAAATACTAGAGTCGACTATACAGACTCTGCAACCAGACTATCTGGTCTCAAATACTGCTGGTCATTTCTTACTCATGTGAACTTACATAGTTACTTAACCATTTCTTCACCTGTAAAATGAAGATTAAAAATAGTACTTGCTTTACAGGGTTGTTAAAAGAATGAATGAATTAATGTATGTAAAATTCTCAGAGGAGTACTTGGCATGTAGCAGTATATAAGCACTTGCTAAGATTACTATGTATAGTACTCATGTGAATAAGATGTATTCCTCAACACAATAGTGTATAATTAATCAGACGTAAAAAGAAAAATGAGTCACATGGCTGTTATGCCTCATGGACAGACACTTACTTGTGAGGTACTGACCATTAGGAAACAGTTATTTACTCCAGAGAACCCCAGGCATTTACTCTCCAGTGAGTCAAACTCACGGGCTCAAATACCGGCTCTCACACTTTCTAGTTGTGCAATCTTGGCAAAATTACTTCTCTGTGCCTCAGTTTTTTCACCTGTCAAATGCATATGATACCCCTCTTGTAGAGTTATCATGGTTTTAAAACAAGCAAATCCACATTAAGCACTTAGAACAGGACACAGCATATGAAAGGCAGTTAATAACTTATCATTATTACTATTACCTCACTTCCGGGATCTTGCAGAAGCAATTTACACATTAGCAGTTCAGAGTCATAATTACAAACACTACAAAGAACATGGAATCATCAATGGGCAGTCACTTTTATTTCCTTAAATCACTGCAAAGAATTCTAGCTCCTTGGTGTATGACACTACTTGTCTTAAGCACTATACAAAATAATCAGGCTTGATAGGAAATTTTATTTTAAAACAGTAGATGGTGCTATAATTCTTAAAGGTGTGAATAGGAGTTTCTGGTGTCAGCATATGAAGCCCACTTCTTTCTCTGTTCATTCCAGCTTGCCTAGATACCATGCCTTTAACCATCAGTGATAAACACTCAGAAGTTTCTCAGTAGTGGCCATCCCAATTCATCAGCATCATTGGAGTAACGATCTCTCAAGATGAGTAAAGAGTGTGTGAGTGTGTAAGTGTGTGAGTGTATGAGTGTAAGAGTGTGTGTGTGTGTGTGTGTGTGTGTGTGTGTGTGTGTGTAAAGCTTACTGTGAGATCACTCTCCGAAATGTTTAAGTGCACAATACAGCGTTGTTACTTATGGGCACAGTGTTGTACAGCCGATTCTAGAGCTTACTCATCTTGCATAACTGAAATGCTATCCCTGCTGAACAGCAATTCCCCATCTCTCCCTTTCTCCAAGCCCCAGAAACTACCATTCCACTCTTTGATTCTATGAATTTCACTCATATAAGTAAATCATACAGCATTTGTCTTTCTGTGACCGGGTTGTTTCACTTAACATAATATCACCAAGGTTCATCCATGTTGTTGCAGATGGCAGGGTTTCCTTCTTTTTTAAGGCTGTTATATTCCTTTATGTGTATATACTACATTTTCCTTATCCATTTATCTGTCAATGTACATTTAGGTTGTTTCCATATTTTAGCTATTGTGAAAAATTGCTGCAATGAACACAGGAAAGAATATATCTTTTCAAGATCCTGATTTCAATTCTTTTGTATATATTCCCAGAAGAGGGACTGCTGTTTCCTATGGTAGTGCTCTTTTTAATTTTTTAAGGAACCGCCATACTGTTTTCCATAGTGGTTGTACCATTTTACATTCCCACCAAAAGGGCACAAGGGTTCCAATTTCTCTATATCCATATTCTCATTCACACCTATCTTTTGGTTTTTGATAATGGTCATAGTGACAGATGTGAGGTGTTACCTCACTGTGGCTTGGATTTGCACTTCCCTGATGATCAGTGACATCTTGACACATAGTTGAGTCAAAGTACCCCACTGCCCACTCTAGGTCTTGTTTCTTCATAACCCGTAAAATCTCATGGGTTAGACCATGGCCAATGCTCAATGAATTCAAGTCTCTCTGCTTGGACTTTGACTATAAATGGAGGTATGTAAAGACTGAAAAACAAAAAAGTAGAAATTCATCAGTTCTGGAGGCTATACCACAGGTCTTCTGAAACTGCCTAATTTTGTCTATTTTAACCAGACATTCAG